CACTAGTGGAAGCTTTTAACTTCGGGACTTCAGCATTCAACTGTTGGCCTACCTATTAACAATGTGTTGAGAGTTTTTTTTTTGGAAACAGACCGAAGTTTGGGAAACTTGTTTGGTTCATAACGTCGCCCAAAAATAATCACCCACCCAGCAGGCAGGTCAACGGCCGAAAAAAGAGTGATGACTGTTGCTCCCTCATAACTGTCTTTAAGGAAGTATTGAATCTCCGAAAGTAAAAGCTTCCTTCCTTTGTCAAGAGGCCAGTTGAGGGTCTCTTGTCTCTGTGTATGAACCAGATGGAGAATACTAATTGCGCATGTAACCGATAAGAAGCGCGATGACGTTGAGGTAATCGGCGGAAACCGTGGTTCAAATTGTTCGAATGCAGCTGTTTTTTTTTTTTTTTGCTACTGTTTCTCTTCAGCGGCAGTAGTTCCGCTGAACACGTCGGCAGTGAGCGTGTTCAGATCTTAGCGCCGTCTCGGACAATAGTATGTGAACGAATCAAAATTGAGCCTTGGGTGACGGACGCGTGACTTTGATTGGGAAAACAGAGGTAGTTCGATTCTGGTGGAAAGACTTTATGAAAAACATATGGAATTTCAGCCTTTAAACTCCCTCTTGGCGTTAGGACGTCTCATGATACCCTCAAACCTCTCAGCCATCGACATGTTCATCCAGCACTCATGGAAACGAGGGCCAGTACAACAAAACGCGAATACGGGAGGAGGTGGTCGGTCGCGATTATTGGATCTATATCGAATGACCTTGATCAATAAATCCCTGTCTTGGCAGTGCTGTTAATCCAGGCGCAGGTTTTCCGGCAGTGAGTGCGTGCTCCTCGAGTTAAAGTGAAAACCACTCTAACTTTTTTCATAGTGATTTATTTGATGACCCGCTTTTCGATAATAAATTCGTCGTTCCCTAGACGAAAGAATTCATCTCAATGTTGCAACATTCCTACTCGAAAATTTTACTTTTAATCAGGAATCTGTTTGGTACCTCTAGTTTAGTCCCTTCCTTCCCTTTTTTGTCGGTTGGAACGGCACGCTTCATCCAATAGGATCATTCCATTTCGTCCTTGTCTTCTTTATCCATCTATTATAATAATCAGCCCGCAGTGCATAAGGCTTAGGGTGTGAGTCCCTGGTCGGTCGGTTTTTTTGGAGTATTCTCTTAATTTTGAATGAAATCCGACAGCTATGTTTTCGGTTCATAGCAACCTGAGCCTTGTCCACACGTGCTGATTCACTACAGAGTTAATTCACGATCACGATTTTGCCGTCTCGATCTCAGGAACTTGGAATGAATGTATCTGCCAGCGCTTCAGCGTCTCTAGCAGTGTTGCTAGATAAAGCTGAAGTTCAGCACTCTTCGTAATTCAAACCCATGTAAATTATCAAAGCTCAACTTGGCAACCTTGATCTCGAGCTCCGGAGCCGCCTCCGAAGAATCACTGAAACACCGAAATGTTGACGTTTTCGTAATCACCATACCGTATACTGTCGTTCCAATCCTACAACTAACTTTCTTAGAGAGCTTTCAATTTCACGCTGAATGCACGGAGCAGGTTCAAGTAATCGCTCCTGTAACCCCGTGATAGTCTTGGTTCCATAGTGAGCTCTGGGGCCGAATTTCGTTGGTCCTTCCAACGTACTTAAAAATACCTAGCAGTGGCGAGGCCTTATCTATCGATTATCGAAATTTTCCCGTTTAAAGCTATGGTAAAGAATCGATTATTATGGTGTTCGTTGCGAACACCCTGTTTATCGATCCTTTTCTATAGGTTTAAATGGCAGATCAGTCTATACAGGGTGTACCAAAAGTCCGTCCCACCCCTGCTAACTTTTGAACGAATTGAGCTAGGGTAATGAAACTTTGGGAATGTTCCTATCTCAAAGGGGACCATCTTTTGGGGGGGGTCAAAATTTTGGTCCCCCCTCAGGGGGAGCGCGGGGGCCCCCAACTTTTTAATTTCAAATGGCAACCCCTATCTTGTGATACATCATTCGAAAGAGCATAAAAAACTAAGAATTTTGGCGCAAACCGCAGATCAATATCTTAATTTTTGACCGAGTTATGATAGGTCAAAGGTCAAATTTGACCTATTTACAAAAAATCATAACTCCGGTTCAAATTATCGTAAAGAAAAAATAAAACGGAAAAATCTACCAAATTGTGTCCGCTTTTAAGTAAAAATTGCAGAAATCACATCGCTGTAATTTTAAGGGGGGGCTCGGACCCCCAAATACGTCAAATCAAAGGTCATTCAATTTTCCCGCGAAAAAAGGCAATTTCCCCTAGATTTGCCTCCACATTATCTCAGTAAGGTCAAAATTAGTTCAGCATTACGTTGGCAAGTCCCCAAATTTCGGGAAAAGTTTAAAAAAAAACGAAATTTAGGGTGATTAAATTTGACCGTTTAAATTTCGTTTTTTTTTAAACTTTTCCCGAAATTTAAGGACTTGCCAACGTAATGCTGAACTAATTTTGACCTTACTGAGATAATGTGGAGGCAAATCTAGGGGAAATTGCCTTTTTTCGCGGGAAAATTGAATGACCTTTGATTTGACGTATTTGGGGGTCCGAGCCCCCCCCCCTTAAAATTACAGCGATGTGATTTCTGCAATTTTTACTTAAAAGCGGACACAATTTGGTAGATTTTTCCGTGTCTATTTGTTTCTTTGTCTATCGCTATGCCTATCAATTTCAATAATCAGGATCGCATTCTTAGTCGTTTCTTAAACAGGGCCTTCTCTAGGGAGGCCTTATACAGTATACAATACATTGTGATTAAGAAAATAGTGAAGAAGCCTTTAAAGTAACATCATAAAAAGAAGAATTGGGCCTTTACAGGTTTAATAGACTAGTAACAGCAATCTACGAGAGACCGTAAGTTAGTCCAGCATTTTCACCCTAGTCTGTGGTCAACCCATAGGATCGCCCCATACTCCCTATGTCTTCTTTGTCTATCGGTATGTCTATCAATTTCAATAATCAACCCGCAGGATCGTATTCATAGTCGTTTCTTAAACAGATCCTTCTCTATAGGGAGGCTCCATACGGTTTACATCGTGTAAGGAAATAGTGAAGAAGCCTTTAAAGTTACCTCATAAAAAGAAGAATTGGGCCTTCACAGGTTTACGGAAAGTCTCCAGGGTCATGTTGTTTACGTTGCTGTTAAAAATATAAGTCATGAGCAGATATTTGGCAACCCTAAATGCAGTTAGACTGAAAATCGTTGAACTTGTCGGCGAGGCGTTATCCTCGAATGGGGAAACGGCGATCTACACTCGAAAAAACTCAATCTTTTCGTCGCTCGGTTTTTCCAACCACACACAACAAAACCATTCTAAAAAGCCAGCGTCATCCAGTTTGCTCACCTTATAAATCGGTCGTCGGAGAGACGTGGTTCGCGCCCGGCCGCAATCGCTTTTTTCCGCGGCGGAGTTGACAAATCTCCCGATTCAGGCGCACCTCCGGCTCTTTTTTCACGTCGAAGTGGCAACCTTGCATCCTTATTAATGGGCCGCACCTTAAATTCGTCGATCGTCTCCGGCTTTGTTACAGCGCAGTTTTTTCCAATCTATTATCAGGTTTGTGTCAATGTTGACTCATCAGTATTCATCCTTTAATCCCCGCATTCGGAGTGTTGCCGATTCGTCTGCAATTATTGTCGGTAATTTGCCCCTGAGTAGTCTGGAGAGTGGGCCAACTCTTTTGGCAACATCGCTCGACCGATCTCAACCATTCATCAATCGGCCGCCGCGCCACGCGTCACCGTCCAACGTTTCCGCCTCCTACTGCCGTGCTAAGGAAAAACGTCGTATGAACATTCGAGAGTCGCCAAAATTCCTTTACTAAAATGTTTATTTTTGGAGAAATTTATGAATATTTTTTCCTGAAATTTTCAGGGACTATGGTTGAAATCGAGAGCAAAATTATCCGTGAAATGGAAGGAAAAATGTTCATAATTTTACCGGGTAAGTCGTGTTTTACCAAAAGAAATGTGGGAACACCTGAAGGTTCATACGGCGTTCTTCCTTAGCTCGGCAGCCTAGGTTGAAGTAGGTGGTGCTCAATGCTGCCGTGCTGAGGAAAAACGCAGTATGAACCTTCAGGCGTTGCCATATTTCCTTCGATAAAACCCGGATTCATTGAGAAAATTCTGAATATTTTTTTTCCTCCAATTTTTAGACAATTGTGTTCGTAATTTAATCAACAATACCTGAAAACTTCAAAGATAAATATGTGTTACTTTCTTCAAAAATAAAAAAAATTTCGGTGAAGATTTGGCAACGTCTAGTGGCTCATACGGCGTTTTTCCTTAGGATGATAGAATGGGCGTCCAATGAATATTCTGTTCTCCCGCGCTGGGAAAAAGCGACGTATGAATATTCAAGTGTTGCGTAGTTCCCCCCCCCCCCCNTGTGAAATGTGCACTTCTGAGAGTATTTCAGAATGTTTTTCCTTGAAATTTTCAGATTCTCCAGGTCAAAGTGCGAATACGATTCTCTGAAAAATTCGGAGAAAAATATTTACAAGACTCCCGAAAATTCGTGTTTTATTGAACGAAATTTGGCCACACCTAAACACTGTTATGGCGTTCCTCCTGAACCTGAGCATGACATTATTCGTCAGCTTCCTTTCTTGTCTTGGGTAGTTTTAAGTTCCGTTACAGCTCCTCTCCTTTTTTGAGGCTTTTCAAAGCTTGCTCTACTTAGCATTCGATTTTAAAAATCGAAACCTACATTCAACTTTAAAGAGGCTGTTGAATTTAGAGAGCAGAAGAGAGATTTGAACCGATTCGCGGCCCTATACAATTTTCCCAAAAAATTTCCGGAGAGAAGTGCAGAAATTTGGCACAAAAATTGAATATTAGTATATGCATGTATGTACGAGGAGAATGTAAAAACTGTTGATAAGTTGTATCTTTCCAAATTTATCATGCAAACATTTAGGATAACACTCTAATTTTTAAAGGTTTCATTCTGTTGCAGGTCGCAAATCCTTCTTTCGTATCTGATCGTCTTTTATACCGACTCAAGAGTTTTTAGTTGGTAAGTTTTGGATTTTATTTTATGTCTTAAAATAATAGTATCACATTAAATTTTGAAAGATGATTCAAAAAAGACTCTTACCCTGGTAAAAATTGGCAGTAGAATCTGTGTTCCAAAATACCATAGACCTACAGCCGGCTGTAAGATTTCCAATAGCTTCTATAGCCGGCTACACAATTTCTTATAGCCTTTTATAGCCGATGGCGATTAAGCGACTCACAGCCAGGCGATGAAGTGTATGCTAAACGTTACTAATTATGGATGCTAGGACTTAGTGAGTTTTTGGACCACTGCTCTCTTTTTGGGCCGTAGTATCTTGATGTATTTTGCGAGGAAAGCTCCGTACTTTTGATGGATGCCTGCCATTCCTAATATATTAGAGCGCCTTCAGTTTTGTATGATACTGTGCAATACCTCTGGTGTGAAATAGTTGCTTCAAGTGCCGTGGCACGCTGCAGGCGGGCAGCCAGCGCTAAACGCGCACTGGCGTCTACAAACCTAACAGGGATACTTCACGCGTTGCGCAATGCGTGAAGTATCCCTGTTAGGTTTGTAGGCGCCAGTGCGTCGCCGCTCCACTTTGTGTTAGGCTCTAATATTTAATCCGTCAGCGTTTTTCAACTTATGATTTTGAAATGTTTGCACATCCTGTATGGATTTATGGCCAATGACCATGAGGTGCTCTAGTGTTGGTGGCTCTAAGAAGAGCCGTTGAAAGGGGCAAGCCGGCCGGCTGCGAGGTGTCCGCTGGGATGAGTGATGTGGCCCGTGTGGCTGACGGGAGCAGCGGAGTGTCATGATGTGGTGAGGTCACGACATATATAGCCGTGGATGAGGCTGCGGCGGCCAATCGGGAGCGAGCATGGGCTGCGTCGCCAGAGGTGAGCGGTGATTGGCCGCCACAGATTATTCTCATTTTAATTGATGAAAAAGAAAGAATGTATTAAAGGAAAATATCATGTGTGTTTTGTACGTATGAAGGTGGTTCTGTATCAAACTTAATAATTTCCAAAGCACACGAATTTCTACACAATTTATTATAGCCTTTTATAATCGATGGCGAAAAAGCAACAGCCAGGCGATAAAGTGTAAAGCCCGGCGATAGGAACTATAGCCCGGCCGCATAATTTTTTATCGCTTCGTATAGCCCGGCCGCATGATTTTCTCCGCATTCTACAGCCAGCTATATGATTTCCTGTAGCCCTCTTTAGCCGGCTATACGAATTCCTATGGTATTTTGAAACGCAGCTCTTATCGCCAATTTTTACCAGGGACTCTTAGACCTCTTGATTGCTTGATCTTCCTTTGAGTTAAAAAAAATCGCAGCCCTTAAAAAAACAGTAATCGTGGATTGATTTTTTAACGGAGCATAATTTTGTGAAACTCCATCTCCCGATCACCAGACATCACAATTGCTCGAGGAAGAAAGCAGGGAATATACTTAATCGAGCGAGCGTGGAGCGATGACTTTAGCTCATCGTCAGTTTGCCTTCAATTTTTGATGTAGGCAATACTAGCTCCCACGTGGTCGAATAGTGGTATCACTCTCAGAAGTCACAATTGCTGGATTCAGAAAGCGGTAAACTACTTCACTGAGCGAGCGTGGAGCATCGTTAGTTTTAGTTCACCGTCAGTTTTCCTTCACTTTTCGATGTAGGCAATACGAGCTCCCGCGTGGTCGAATAGTAGTATCACTCTCAGAAATACGATTGTTTGAGGGAATATGCGGGATTGTATTTTATAAAGAAAGAATAAAGATTCCTGAATCATACTTAGGTTGATTGCCTCAACGATTGTAAGAGCATAGTAAATGTTTAAACTCTCTTAGAAAAAATGGTGGAGCGATTTATTGTCCGATTTACCTTAACGACGCGCCCGCCGGCTCTGCAAGGGCTCTAAAGATTTTACGCTTTTTAAAGCAAGTTCTCCTGTAAGTTAGACAACGGGCAGGTAGGTAGACGCACGCGCCCTGTAACCCACTTATTTTAGTGAGGAAGAGAGAGGTAATTGACGAGGTGGCCCATGATGGCGGTGCATAGCTCCGGGAAACTCGGCCGGAAGAATGACATTAAGGCAGTTGCCAGAGTCATCGAGAGTCACTGCCGTGCCAAGGAAAATCACCTCATCAACGCAGGAGCTCTTGCCAAATTTCCTCTCATGACTGTTCAGTAAAATGTATGAATTTGTTTCTCTTTGAATTCATGGATGAATTTCTTTCGCAGTTCTATCTGATTTGTCCGTCAATAGGCCTGTTGCGAACTTCAGCTATAGAGCAAAAAGGAGAGTTTCACATAGAAAATGGCTGAGAAATCACGATTAGCTCATCGGGAAAGTCTGAAATACACTCCGAACTTCCCAATCTGCCCAAGAAATATGTGGTATTTTAGGCTTCTCGCTTGAAAAATAATACCACGGCACAGGTGAACATTCTTAAGAGGAGTCGTCCATCCAACCCTTGCGTTTTAGGATGCCACACAATATTCAAGATATGGTTGACGCTTCCGCCTACAAATCGTGAGGGGGCACCTACCATGGTCTTTATTGACACAAAGACATTGTGATTATAAACACGCCGGTTGATAAAATACCGTCTCGTGACGTGTGTTTTGGCGGGTTGGCGTCGGCCATGTTGAATATTGCGTAGCATCTAAAGGCAAGGGTTGGCTGGAACGACTCCTCTTACGGAATTTTCACCTGTGCCGTAGTATCGGTCTTGAGGTAAGAAGCCTAAGAAAAAACGCACTTTCCTTACACAGTTTGTGAAGATTGGAGTGTATTTCAGACTTTCTGGTTAAGCTCAACATAATTTTTGAGCAATATTCTGTAAGGAACAACTCGCCTTTTTGCTCCAGCCGAAGTCTGCACCAGGTCCACTCTAAGGAATAATATTTACGGTGGCGTAACCGGAAATATTTCTTGGGTGGAGAGATTCATCATCAAATTTCGTAGTTCACGATCAGAAAAGTCTTCATTCGGGGGGTGTGTTAGTTGGACGACAAGGACATTTACGCACTTATGGTGGAACCGGTGGGAATCCTGGGTCGGCGGTAACAGAGCCTTTGCGTATTGCCATTTTGCCATTTTCCGCTCAACAGGACCGTGGGCTCAACTTGGTTCCCCGTCTCTATCTCTGATTCGCTGTTTGGCTAGTAAGCGAGGTGGAATGCGAAATTCCGCTCAGTATTCACGTCCAACTCAGCTTTGTTGCCATGCTCGCGCCCATCTCCTAATCAGAGACAGATCGAGACCCTTCATGCCAATGGGTCAGCTGCGCTGATCACAAAATCGTGTTTTTGATGCTTGATTCCTGCAGATCAACAAAACATAATGGTAAGTATGCGTACAAACGGCAACTTTCTCGTTCAATGTTATAACCGAGACATCAAGCTTTGAGAAAATCGGTTTATGACGTCATCCAACGCGGTAGTGACACCCTTGGTTTCTTCCACATTGCTTTTATCCAAGTTTCACGTTGAGTCACCAGTGTGAAAGTGTGTCTCACTGACTGATGAAAGGAAGGTGGAAGAAACCGAGGGTGTCACTACTGCGGTGGATGACGTCGTAAACCGAATTTTTCAAAGCGCGATATCGTGGTTAATATTAAAGTTAGAGACTTGCTGCAGTTCAGACAGATCTTATTATTTTTAGCTAATCCACAAAAATGAAGCATAAAAACACGATCTACGACTGACCCATCCACGAGATCGATTTTTCAAGTCCAACAGTCGACAATATCGAGTCGATTCTGGCCCGCCGATATGCGCCACCGTCGATCCTTTTTCCTCTGAACCCGATTGATGCAATCAGTTTCTTACCCTAATTCTCGCATTACTTTCCAAAAATTTGGCCCTCAAATCGCTAAAATGAAAATAATGCATGATCTAGGTACATTAATCTACAGCAGCAAAGTTCATGGAAATCTTCTTTTTCATGAGATATTCGAGCCCATATACTTTTCCCCGGTGTCAAAGATCAGATCAGGGAGCTCCAATTTGATTGGATCGTCACGTGACGATTTCGGCATACTTGATAGGCTAGTTTTGAATTCCGAGATTGGCGGGAAAGATTAGAATTGTTGGAGCTAGAAGTTTGTCAGGAAAAATTTCTTGACAGGAAAAGTGCGAGCAAGAAAAAAAGGAAGCGATCGGCGTTAAGAGGCAACTTTCCGGAACCGTGTCCGTGGTTGAATCATCGAGATTCGTTCCTTCGGTGCACGGAGCAGAGTAAATGCGTTATGGACTGTGAAAAAAATGCCGGAGTGACGTAACAAGCTAATGCAGCGGAACGCATTCGGTGTCGGGTATCTCGGAAACGATGTCAAAGTCCTCGCTGCTTCGCTTATGTAGGCAAATCGAAATGTAGAACGGCTCCGTGGAAGCCCGCGCTCAGTCACCTCCGCCTCACAGTTGCCTGAATAGGCCCATTTTTGCGACAAATTTGTCTTGATACTCGGATAGCGTCCACAGAAAAAAAGAGGTTCGGGTCGTTGGATTATATGGGCATTTCCAATTAATTTTGGTAGCATCCCAATATCGACGTTAATAATGAATTTTGAAATGGGCGCCAAAAAGTGTTAGCCAGAGTACTTGTATACTGCCGTGCTAAGGAAGAACGCCGTATGAACATTCAAGAGTCGCCAAATTTCCTCCGATAAAATGTTTATTTATGAGGAAAATTATGAACATTTTTCCTCGAAATTTTCAGGAACTTTAGATCAAAATACAAACAATATACTCTGAAAAATTCAAAGAAAAATATTCATAAGTTTACCCGGAAATTTGTGTCCTATCGAAGGAAATTTGGCAACGCCTGAAGGCTCATACGGCGTTTTTCCTTAGCACGGCAGTATACAGGAGAGTATTGCCATCTCTGTGCTGCAGGGTAACACAAGTTCTCGGTTGATTCTCGGTTCCTCACATTTCCCATCTTCCTTTAAGTCTTATTAGTTATTAACACAAACTTCATGTCAGTGTTTCACTTCCCTTATTATCCTTGCTAGA